ATAATGATGTGTTATTGATTCCTAACCTAAACATCTGATTTGCGAATGGCTTAAATGAAATTCATGATAATTAAAATTCACTCGCTTAATCTGTTCACACCATAACAATTGTTGTTCATGAATATTGATGATATATATATACAAATCAATTATATACTAAAAAAAGATTACATCATAAGGAAGAATAGCGCTGATTTAACATAGCATATCCAAACCTTAGATGAAAAATAATTAATTGCAATATTACGTAGAACATGAAAGAGAAAAGAAACAACGCAGCTACAAAACAGACATGTACCATCTGGTCACACACACACACACCATGAGGTGGGTAGTTATGCAATGTGCCCTGGTTTTTGAGGTACTGGTGGAAGTAAGACCGAAATTGCGTTGGGGGTACACTGTCTATCCAGTTAATAATAAAGAAGAGAGCAGGTGATAAAGATGTGTGACGTTGTGGGCGAGAGCACATTATTAAGACTGAGGCCTGCGAAACTGAGGTTAAACTGGATAGAGGGTCTTACTTCCACCAGTACCTCAATAACCAGGGCATATTGCACAACTACCCACCTTATGGTGTGCGCCCAAGTGGTACATGTCTGTTTTGTAGCTGCGTTTGTTTCTTTCATGTTCTACGTAATATTGCAATTAATTATAAATAAATCAATATACACAATGCTATGCAATACATTAATTGTTCATAGGCGATTACAATCAGCACTATAAAACAATGATGAACTTAATATACACCAGAAACAACATAATTAAATTGAAACTCAAAACTACGCCTCCACTACCATTCCTTGCTGTTGTCCATAAGTTTTAAAGGATAATGCCTGTGGTCATAGCACCCAAATGCGCTGGAGATATTCCATCTCTGAGGCAAAATCCAAACGCCGATGAAAAATTTGCCAGCAACTAAGGATAATCAGTTATAGGTTAGGAGTTGAGAGCTTGAACTCACAACGTCTCAACTCCAACTGCCTTTCGCTGTCTGCAGCCAGTTGTGGGAGGCAGTAACCCTTAATATTTAGAAATAACTTTAATGTAGAATTAAACCAACCCGATAAAAATTCTACAAAGTAAAACTCCCTTTGCCTAATAGATGGAATATCCCCAATGCATATGGGTGCTATGACCACAGGCTTTATGATTTAAGGACAACATCAAGGAATGGTAGCGGAGGCATGGTTTTGAGTTTCACTTTTATTGTGTTGTTTCTGGTTTATATATATAACACCTAGACCACATCATTGAAACATTTTATTTAATACACTTCTTGACTGAAAATGTTCGCATTACACATTAAACAATTCTGGTAGCCTAAAGGTCAACGTACACGATACAAATACGTGACAACTTCAAAATATCCACCATCTGCAACGAATTTGTTATTATATATTTATTTGAATATCAACGTTTGTTTAGATTAAATTTCTATTTAGAAACATACATGGCTTATACTGTTAAATATGTATTGCGAAACTCTCGCCTATTCTCCAAAGTTGTAGAAGATTCTCGAGAGTAAAAGTCAACAATATATGTGTGTACGTAAGCACTTAAATTGCATTGTTACGTAATTTGAATTTTCTAGAAAACCTTCCCACGGCTATAAATATAACCAACGCTATGCGCGCCAAAGAGAGTATCTATTATTTGTGTGCCATAGTCAGTGTGCTATAAACTTCGGAAGCTATAACTGTGATTTTTATAACGCTTACCAATCGGAAAACTTCAGATATTTGACCAGAAGCATTTACAAAATTCGAACATTACAATTCATTTAACTTCATTGGATTCCCATCGGACATTAGTACTTTTACGAAAACATTGCCTAACGTCATCGGTGGAAACTCAATCTCTAATAGGCGTATGATCAGCGAGAACTACAGAGCTAGCTAGCTCCCTGCTAAGTGAATTGTACCTATATCAACTCGCTCATCGTGAACCCTCGATAAGATATTAAGGAAGTTCCAGACTAGAAAGAATACTTTATATTGTTTGTAAGTTCGTGAAAGTTTTGTTTATAAATCATTTTTTAAATAACTATTTGTAGTAATTGTTATTGTAAATTGTACCGTTGTGTGTATATTAAAACGTATTTGTGTTAAAAAAGAAAACCGTGTATCAATCTTGTTGGCAAATATCATAAACTGACTATATTATATATATATATATATCGGCATTTATTTAAATACTAAATCCAAAGTACAATTTAGCTACTAAATTGAAAGTATCATTTAGCTCGGTATCAGACCATTTGAAATTCTAATAGTAACACATCAAATTGGAAGAACTATTCATATTTTCTATGAAACCCGTGAAAAGCATTTAAGAACGATTAATTTCGACATTTAATAAAAGTCCTTTCCGCTTTTATATATTAGTCTTATGAAGCACATTATGGAGAAAATAAAACTATGCTCATCAGAAATTATATCAAAATACATGAAAAAAACGACGATATTACCCACATTACAGACAGACGTAACATTCTTTGGTTAAGGTGAACGCAGTACCCTCTGTATAAATGTTTATACATTATCCCTCTGTACGCACTCATATATATTGGATCTGATTCCTATCCTATTGGAAGCCATGTTCAAAAAACTATTTTTACTTTGAAAAAGTGGACTTTTTATTACGAAAAAAAAAAGTTTTCCCCTGAAAATGAATATGGTTTTATGATGTGTACATTACAATATATCTGTTCATTTTCACTTGAAAGTTTTTTTTATTTATTTATCACTACCATAAACATCTTACAGAATTTGTCTAGTTTATATCCATGGAGCCTTTTACTGTATTTTCAATAGTGACTCATGAAAAACATAACTTGCGTTAATAGGATGCCGCTACTTACCACACACAAGGCCGTGGTTTGGTCCTGTGATAGAGCCCTGGATTTCGGAGCTAGTTAGAGGCGTTCGAATCCACAAAATAGTCCACGCACTTAAGCTGTGAGTATGTTATAAGTGTGACAGTCAAACTCTTAACGTGGATGGTAGGTGGTGCTGACTGGCTGCCTTCTCTCTGATCAGTAGTTCAAAATTAGGAACGGTTGCAGCTAGCCTTAGTACCTTTGCCATACAAACACCTTTTTTGCCCCAGATGAAGAAAGTCCCATCTTTCGAAAATGATAGTCATCATTATTATGGTCTTTTATGTTGTTGAAATCCTTGGTCTTAATAATGTCACACTTATTAACGTTCAACTTACTCTAGTATTTTTCAAGAATATAAATAACTGATGCAGATTAACTACATTTACCCAGTCCTTTCAGTTAGGAATATTTTTAGATTCGTATCCGCTGTCAGAGGGTGATAGAAGTATACATTTTCTATAAAAAAAAAGTATTTTACTTTGCTTGGTGAAGCTCTGAACTTCTGTTGAAAATCGTACTTAGCATTTAGTGAATGAATTGTTCAAACATGTTTGATTCTTAGCCTATAAAACCAATTCTCTAATCTATAAAGGAATTTCCTAACTTAAAGCATAAACAACATTGTTTGCACTTTATTTTTTGTGATTGTGTATGCTTCAAGTTGAAAAAAAAATACAACTGGATTGGAAACTTTTATGGACTGCATCTGCCTATTGAGTTGAGGATAGTTAAAACTTCGAAACGCCGTTCTCAACTCAGCAGGAAGGCAGATGCAATCTATATAAGTTTACAATGCAATACAATCTCCTCTGCTTAAATGTTTTCTCAAGCAACAACAGAAACTAAAACAATAAAAATTTTGCCAGCTTACATCAGAATTGTAATGCTGTCTTAAAATTGACAATTAACATCACAGTTGTTCTTTTTAAATCGTTAGAATGTTCGGCAATGAAGAGCAAGACAATGGTCAAACTTGAAAACGATTGTTTCTTTAAGAGTGCAGATGAACGGCTTCCCTTGGTAAAAAAAAAGTTTAAAGGACAATAAATTGTAGCAAATATTTTGAAGTTTTCAAGTCGTTACATATTTCATATACTTATCGCGACAACGGTAAATGTGATGGTGCTTTATAAAGTGAATCGCGTCATTTATAAGTGCAATGAAATATGATAACCATTTAGCTCTACTGTGTATAAGATAAAGAAACCGAGAGAATTTGAAGGAGTGAAATCACACATATACGCGCGTGCCAAACAAATGTGTGAGGGTACAAGCGCAACAGCACGAACTTGACCGAATGAAACATCTACCTATTATTCCATCTTCTAACATCAGCTGCCCAAGTCTTATTTCCATTCCTACATCCTTAAAAACCAGTTTCTACGGTACAGATGACCACGACTCGCGCTCAGGGGCGTAGTGTTCCCACACGAGTCAGGGTTATGGGAAGAAATCGGTGGCACGTGCTATTATACCGCATTCTCGCGCTTAGATTATCTATACCCCGATTAATTTGTAGGTCACAGCCACTAGGCTACTCCTACACAAACTGCCAATCGCTAGGACGTCGAAATAGTAGCCCCCATTATATTTATAGATAATTTACTTGAAAGAGGATTACGCTTAGTTTCAAGTGTTCTAGAAAAGATAAACAAAAATTAGAGCAAATAAATTTTATGAATAAACATGAAATTATAATGACTATGTTTTCAATCGTGCTTAAAAATATACAAAAATGAATAGAGATATTGTAATTTACCGGAAATATATACTAGATTAATAATACGCAATAGTTCTAATATGAGGCGAAAACTCCAGAAATAAATTTAAAATGATTAATTATCAAATATAAAAAGAAAACAATGTGTAGAAAGTTTAACCAAAACATGCAAAAGCGATCACTTCAACAACCCACGCTGCACAATACGCACGACCCGTGCATGTCGTCGCGAGATTCTTAAATATACATTCTGGGCAGCAGGCATCGCGCCTGTAACTAACTGTAAGCGAATGTGGGAAAGAACTCGCTTCACCATTCTCACACAGTCGGCCTACATGCTTGGCTGACTTCGTATGAATAACAACCTTCGTCACGCGGGCGCGTTCCCACACATGCACTTGTCGAGCGTTGTTGGATTGCCCACATTCCAGGGGTTGGGATTTAAGACCTACGAAAGCAGACTCTCAGTCCTCTATTCCGTTATATCGTGTTGTAGTATGGAGGTTCTTGTTGTTGGTGTGAGATTTACGTTACGATTGCTTAAACGAGAGAACCAATCTTGTCACCTGTTTCTGTTATAGTGTTCCTGATATCTAAAATGCCAGCGGATAAATCATATTCGAAAACCAGCGACTATCGACGGGTAATTGGTTTATATGATTAGATGGTAGAAAGTAAACTTTTCGCTAATCTTTAAACGTAAACAGTAGGTTATGATTAAGTTTGTTTATTTTTAAAGCAAAAGTCGCATCGGGCCATTTGCTGTGTGTGTATCGCGGGGGGATCGAAACCCGGATTTAAGCGTTGTAAGTCCATAGACTTAGCGCTGTCCGATCGGGGTGCTATAGCTAAGTAAAAAATAAACTTTTCAATAATTATTAAATGTAAACTTCGGGTAAAAAGCAAACTTTTTAACATTTATTAAATCAGTCCATAAATTTCAATTACGTTATAAACTTAACAAACTAGCAGTTAAAGTTAATAAGCGAAAAATAATACCGATTTGAAACGGTATAGATAAATATCGAGATTGTGTACTTAACGACTGTATTAATTTATGGATTTCTATTATTTTTTGATTTGGTTTCAAAACTGTGCTCTGGGCACCACGTTTAGTTTAGAGCACGGAACCCAAAACGGTGTCTTAAAACCAAAAGGTAGGACTAGGATAAATGATTAAAAGATACAGCTCATGTGTCAAGGACTGTCTAAACGTACTTTGAAAAAATAAAACCTTAAAATACCAAGAATTAGAAAAATAGTTTAAATATATAAAAATGATAATTGTTGTATTAATCATTTTCCGGTCATTCACGATAAGATTGGAGACGAATAATATTAACAATACCTTGTAGTTATAAAGTACATGTACACAGGTCAATATTTTAAAAATTATCATGTAAAAACGTAATTGTTTTGTATAAAACAGCCTTAATTGGTACTTAGGTTAAAAAAAAAGCTTGTCGCTTTGGTGTAACAATGACTTTCTACAAATCTGTTTATGTATATTTTATTTTTTTGTTAGTGGTTACATGGACCTTATGCTGTAATGATACTAATATATCCTACGTTTTGTTATTATTACATAATTTTATTACTTTTAGAATAGACTACAAATCTTATAATTTATCTAGTTCCAAGTTGCAGTGGTAATTTTATGAGTTTTTATGTAACTGATTCAATGATAGAGCCTATAGACCCTATAATATTAACTTTTTTTTCTTTTTTTTTACTGGTGTTTCTTCTCATTAAAAACTAAGATACGGTGTATTCTACGATAGTAAGGGTTAAGAACTCTGACAGTTGTTTTTCTTATCTCGTTTCATTTAGGCTACAAAACCTCTCATGGAAAAAAGAAGAAGAGCCCGAATTAACCAGTGTCTCAACGAACTAAAAACATTAGTTTTAGATGCTCTGCACGAAGATGTAGGTTTTTATACAGGAGGCTTAAATGACAAACATAAGTTTTATAGCGCTTCTTACATCTGTAGTATTATATTATAACCAATGGAATAAATAGCCAATAAATTGTGAATATTTTATCAATTTTGTGACTTTAGCTTAGTTTATAAACTCAAGAAATTATTGGCCTCTTTTTTTATAATTTAAACATTTTTATGACGTTTTGTAAGGTAATAATGGATAATGTGTAGATTCAAATATAGTTTTAAGTCGCTAAATAGCTTTTTTTGTCATCAGATAGATGTATTGTTTTATTTTTAAAAACTTAGTTTAATTGTTATATTTTCCTATATTATTTTGTTTTGTA